CGTCAGCCCTGCCCAGCTGGAGGGTAGTTTCGGTAGTGATAAGAGCGGTGGTGTTTGTGGGCTTACTCTATGTCGTCGATGAAGTTAGTTGATGTCTATTAGTTTGTTTTCTGTTGGGCTACTCGGCAAGACCGTAGAAACTTTAGGTTCACACACACATATTTGTTAAAATGTTTTTGCAGCCACCTCTCAAATAAATGACTTGTGCTCAAATTCTTAATTTAGGGTATATAATGGGGACACTTAAAAAGACATATGCTATAGGCCATCAGTAAAATGTTTACATAAAAGGAGGAGGATGTGGGAGACAGCTTTCAGCCTGGCGAGCATGACAGCAAGCCAGTGACACTCAGCACGGGTTTGCTTCAGTGACGGAGCATGCCAGGTCACACTTCGGCACTTTTGTCAATGGGAAGCATGTGTTTGTCACCCACACAGATGGAGATTCGGTCTTACAGTCAGACATTCAGCTACAGGCTCTCCCTGGTTTATCAGGTAGTTATTGTATCTGTTCGAGCAAAGAAGAAACGAAAGTGAAGACGAACTAGCCGTAAGCTTGGCCTGTTTGTGTTGAGACAAGGTCTGATTTTGTAGGCCTGCCTCACAGGGTGTAGGCTGGACCACTCTGTCCAGGCTAGCCTGGTCTTACACTCCTGGCAATCCTCTAGCTTCTGAGAACTAGAAGGTCAATTGTGCGCTCCCACTCTGGCCAGGCTATAGTAAGTTTGACTAAGACTAAGGCCCAACCATTGTGTTGACCAGATTCTGAAAGGTTGGATGAGAATTGGGAGGTGAAGTGAGTCTCTTATACTTAGTGAGAAACCAAGCTGCATTTAGAACAGAGAAATGTAATGGCCAGATATTCTGGAAACTCCCCCTGAACAAGGCTGAGTGTGAGAAAGGCAGGGATATCCTTTAGGAAGTCCTTGAGGGGTCCAAGGGTAATGTGGTAAGCGTGGCAGTCAGAGCAGGAGACAGAGCAGTGGCAAAGGGTATCTGTGTCCGCGTGTACATGTGTGTGTGTGTGCATGTGTGTGTGTGAGAGAGAAAGAGAGGTGTGTGTGTGTGCATGCATATGTGTGTGTAAGAGAGATGTGTGTGTGTGTGTGTGTGAGAGAGAGAGAGAGTGGTATGTGTGTGTTTGTGTGTGAGAGAGAGAGTGGTATGTGTGTGTGTGAGAGAGAGGTGTGTGTGCTGTGTGTGTGTGTGTGTGA